AGCTGGGTGGGGGAACACAGCAGCTGGGACTAGAGCCTGCACTCTCACCTGGAATGAAAGCTTTGCAAACAGCAGCTTGAGCCCCCAACCCACAGCCTGGCCCCTGCAAGGGAATTTTTTCAATGCTGTCCTCACAAGGAGATAGAAAAAAATGTATGAGGTGATGAATATCCTTTTTCCTTTGGTTTTGTCATTGTATAATGTTTACATGTATTGAAACACCATGTGTACAGATGCATCCATTACGTGCGACCTAAAAAACTAGTTTGGTATTGGGTTTGGTCTGGATTTTAAGACTACTGTAAAGATGACTCACATTGAAACATACCAGCATAGCCATTTATTAAAGGTAATAGTGCGGGAATATTTAGTGACTTAGAAAATATCACCCTTAAATAACATTCCAAGTGAATTAAAGAACTAAACACAAAAAAATCCCCAAGTATCAACAAATGCAATAAAATTTCTAATTTTGGAGCAGAAAGCCGAAATTCCAAAGCAAAAACCATGAAAGAAACTTGATACATTTGTATACACCAACATTTAAAACAAATGCATCCCCAAGGCCCCCTAAACAAAATTTGAAAGGAATCAAAGTCTGCGGAAAATTTCCCACCTGTGTCGGAAAGAGTTATATCCAGACTACAAAATTCAATAAAAATAAATCATCCAACTGGAAAATAGACATGAACAAGCAAGCGACAAAATGAGAAAAAATAAACCAACAAATGTAATAGTTAGCAAATGATGAGGTATTTTTTCCCCCATTACATTGTCAAAGCATTAAAATGACTGGTTAATATTCAATATAGTTAAGACTTTAGGGACATGGTTGTTCACTGCTGGGGGGAGGAATGTAAACTGATATGTTTGTTTCTACATGACAATTGAGAATTATGTATGAAATTTTCAAGAATGCCTTTTTTGGGCCCGGCACAGTGGCGCAGTGGTTAAGGTCCTCGCCTTGCACGCCCGGGATCCCATTTGGGCGCCGGTTCTAATCCCGGCAGCCCCGCTTCCCTTCCAGCTCCCTGCCTGTGGCCCGGGAAAGCAGTCGAGGACGGCCCAAAGCTTTGGGAACCTGCACCCGCGTGGGAGACCCAGAAGAGGCTCCTGGCTTCGGATCGGCATAGCATCGACCGTTGCGCTCACTTGGGGAGTGAATCATCGGACGGAAGATCTTCCTCTCTGTCTCTCCTTTCTGTATATCCACCTTTCCAATAAAAATCAACTAAATCTTAAAAAAAGAAAGAATGCCTTTTTTTACGTTGTGTTTTTGATCCAGCTATTTCACCTGTTCATACACAGGTGCACAAAAAAGCGTGTACAAGAACTGTCATTGCAGCGCTGTTAGGTTTCAGTTTTGTGGTATACTCCGTGTGCTTTCTAAGACTACCAAGCATACAGGGAAAATTTGTCATCCAGTAGCTAGATCTAAAGTACAACTGAAAGCAAGAGAATAAAAGATTCATTAAGTTATGATTGAGTCATTATCCAAACAGAAAATGTATACAATAATGCCAGAAAAAAGTTGTAAAATATAATTTATAATAATTCTTCACATTCAATACATGCACCATCCTGGGTCCAAACATGAATTCAGTCCCAGTGATTCACGTCTTGGAATTTAAATGACGCAGACTAAACTAGAGGTCCCCAATAACCACCACATAACCTTGTGCATGAGTGAAAAACACAGAAGTATTTGTCTCCACACTTTAAATTTTTTTCTTTTTTGATTTGTCTTGCCTGTGCATCGTGATTACAGCTATGGAGGAAGTAAACAATAGCAGGTGTCCCTGCCACTCAGAGGGAGGACAGCTAACACCCTATTGATTCACTCTATTTTACGTAGTTGAGGATTAGCCACAGCAACCCTAAGTACTATAACAATTTAATTCTGCTAATATCCCAACTTCCGGTCACAGAGGCTTTCAGCAGCAAAATGATCTATTCATATTCACTGAGCCAGAAGTTAGGCTAGGGTGGGTGAAGTAACTCATAATGGGTTGTCAGTTACCCAAAGGTCTCTGTTACCTATTTTGGTGTTTTCTTTCACGGTGAGGGAATAGGCTATGGAGAAAAGTTAGGGATCCTTGTGGGCCCCGTTCTGCTTCTCAGTCCGCCTGGCTCTGGCTGGAACCCAGTGCCCCATCCGGCTGGAGGTCAGTTTCTGCACAGGCAGTCAGGTGTACTATCCTGTCCCCTTTCTGCAGAGGCCAGCACACCTCTGGGGCTGAGGACCTGCCACCAGTCTCAGGAATCGGCCCTGATTCCTGAGCCAGGAGACATCCACCAGTCCCGTTAGGTCTGAAAGGAAACAAAGTGTCAAGTGCGGCTTCACTAATAGTATCTTCACTCTGCAGCCTGGGCAACTTCTGCAGTCTCAGCAGTGAGTCCACCTGCCCAGAAGACAGAAGTCTGGGGAACCAGTGTGAAAAGCGCATCGCGGTGGAAAGGAGACCCAATTCGACAACAATCTGGCCCTGGAAGAAGCAAACAGCGGAGCTTGTTTTATTTTCCCTCTGATTCACGGGCCTCACCTGACTGGTGGAAAAGAATGTAACCATTTTGAGAACGCTGCGGGAGGCAACGTGCAGGCCAGGGGTGGGGTTCGGGAGGCCTTCAGCCCAAAACACCTGCTGTTACAGTCACATTCTCCAAGGAGGAAGCTTGGGTACTAGCCCCTTCAGTTTTGTAAAAAATGCACCATTATAGTAAAAGATTGAATATGGTACATGCATATCAATAGGTGAATGGTTAACTCAGTCAACGAAATACTGTTTAGAAGGCCAAATGGATGAGGTACATTTGTATATATTTATGTGGAAAGACCCTTAAGCTATATTAAGTAACTAAGTAATTCTTAGGACAATACATAAAATAGGATGAAGTTTGTATTTTCTAAAAATGAATTACATAAAATCAAGCTATGTATTCTTACTTGTGTATATGAGCATAAGGCAAACTTTAAATTGATCCTGTGTCAAGCATTTTACAATAATGCACTCCCGTGTAATTAGGAAAACATTTTAAAATGAAAAAAGAGCACAACTGAAGTTAATTGCATGCTGAAAAAAGGAAAGCTTCATGCTGCCATTAAAATGTTATGAACAAATGCTTAATTACATGACAAATACTCTCTAGGTTATTAAATAATAGCCTGCTATGATGTTTGCTCAAACTATAAACGCATATGGTTAGATTGGGTTTTTTTTTTTCCTTTCTTTCAGTATTGTCTTTATGTTTTCATCTGTTTTCTGAATATTCTACAGTAAGAAAAATAAAAGCACGGGGGTGGGGAGATGCTGGTATTGGTTAGAGCGAGGGTCACGGAAAGGATGGTGTTAGCAAGAGAACTAGAGGCTGCTACAGGCTGAAATGTAAAGTAGAGCTGTGGAGTATATGGGATTTTAGAATTAGACGTGGGGAACTAGACTGTACTTGGCCCAGAAAATTAGTAGTAGAAAATGAAGGGTTAGAATTAGGAGTAGAGACCATGGATTATAAGAATTAAAGCAGGGCAGGCGGTTAGCCTAGCCATAAAGGCGCCCATCTGCCTGGACTTGATCTTTGCCTCCTCCTCCACTCCAGCTTCCTGCTACTGCACCTTCTGGGAAGTAGCAGGTGATACTCCAGTCCTTGGATGCTTGCCACCCACGTGGGAGAGTTGTGGGAAAGCCAGAGGGAGTGCCAGGTTTCGGGATTCCCCCGACACTGCACTGTTTGCAGGGGTCTGGGGAGTGAAGTCGGTGGATGGCAGGTTTCTGTTTTCTTACTGCCTTTGAAATAAATAAAGCAAAATCAATAAAAACTAAAAAAAGAAAAGAAAAAGCCCAAACACTGGAGGCTATAATTAGGTTTTATTTCCCCTATGTCTCAAGAGCTATTTGAATGGTGCTTTTGTCTTTATACTTTAAAATACCCAATTAATACATACTTTGGGAGTTAAAATTCCAAACACTGTCAACGTGCCCCGCCAAAGCCCCTTTCTCCTCTCACCCTTCAATCTCCTTGCGCACCCCCCGAAAGAAGCAGGATGAATATGGGATCTCCTGCAGCTCCTTTTAAATTCCCATCCGTTGACAAATGCACACCCTCCGCAGGTTCCTTGCCAATCACCCTGCCCCCCCCCCCAATATCAGGGAGGAGAATGGAGGTTTGCGGGCTTACTATGTGTCCCAGCCCAGCAGGATTCACTGTGATGGGCGATTTCCCGCGCAGTCATCATCTCCAGCTCTCCATACTACCCCGGCTTGCCCTGTTGTCCCCCTACCCACACCAAAATACCTTCTATACCACTCCATCTTTCACAGGGCAACTACATTTTACTTGAATCTTAAAACATCAATCAAATCACGCTCCCTTGAGCAGGTTCCACTATGTCAGGAAAGAAAGCACGGTTCCCAGAGAGCCGGCTATTGCGTCTGGATGCCTTGGCGGGGCCATGGGAAGCTGAGGCGCGGTCCTCAAGCAGGGAAGCAGGCTACAAGACCCAGGGAGCGCCCTCCCCAGGGCCAGGGGCGGGGCTTCTCTGCGGTGGGTGGAGCCTCGCCTCGAGTGGGAGCCTGGCTGAGCCGGAGCCGGGAGGCTTTCGTGCGAGGGGACCAAGGCCGAAGCAGGGCCGCGGATCCCGCACGCTGCTGCGGGACCCCGCAGAGCCTTTGCGGCCGAGGTGAGCATCGTCTGTCCTCTGGGATGGGAGAGGTGGGTGCTTGTGAGTATGGCCGTCCTCGGGCGTCTCGCGGCTTGGGAGGCTGGTCCCCATTGGACCCTGCGCCGGGAGGCACGGAGTTGGCGGCCTTGGGGAGCCTGCGGGAAAGGCTGGTGAAGGAAGGGGCCGGGCGGCCTGCCCAACCCTCCCTTGACCCCGCCTCCTCTCCCCTTCCCCCAGGCCTCTGCCGGCGCCAGCAGAGAGCCAGCCGCATCTTCGGGAGAGAGCCGTGCAGCTGCCGGCAGCGCGGCGAAGGCGGCCGACTGGAGGGGATGCGAGGTATCGGCATTAGCTGTGGCCAAGTGGCCCTAGAGAGGGAGTAGAGGCCAGGCCTCCGGCATTTCTCTTCCCCCAACAGCGGTTCGAGGAAGGCGGCTCAGGAGAGGGAAGGTGAGGGGCGGGCAGGCAGGCTTCGTGGGTAACTACTAGGCGTTGTGTATGTATGTTTTGGTATCTAAATGGTACTACACACGCACACACACGCAGGCACGCACGCACACACGCGCACACACACTGGTTTCGGCTAATTGCTTTTTAAAATGTTAACATTGTGTCTTGCAGATCTTCCTAGAATAGGGAATCCAAATTCATCTCAGCTTTTAAACAGCTGCATTGTATCATTGTACTACAGTGTATTTAACCATTTCTTGATTGATGTACATGACCATGTTTCCTTTCGGGGAGGGGGTGGGAGGGAGGTATTACGAGCAATGCTATAATGAATGGCCTTGTGTATATGTTGTATGCACATGTATGAGTATTTCCTTAGGAAACATTCTTAGCAGAGTAATTGCTGGGCAAAAGTCTGGACATTTTGAATTTTGATACATTGTCTAAATTACCTCCCGCAAAGGGTATACTAATGTATACTCTACACTGTTGTGCAAGAGTGCCTGTTTTTCCACAGTTGTATCAACAGCAATTATTAACAATCTTTGTAATTTCAGCCAATTTAAAGGGCAAAAAAAAAATCCTATGTCGTTTTCATTTGCCTTTTTCAGATTATTAGTGAAATCAAACGTGTTTTATTTGTCCCATAACAAAAGTAGACAAATATCAGTAGTCATTCATCTACAAGAAATATTCATTTTGAAAAGGTATTAAAAATTGCATTTGCAATAACAAGAAAAAACATTCGAAATACATGGAAGTAAACTATAGAACTTTACAGAGGGGTATAATAAAAACGTTTTCATAAATGGAGAAGAGATATCATGCTCCTGATTAAGAAAGCTCGCTTTTGTAGTGATGTCTATTTTTCCTGGATTGATTTATATAGTTGATGCAATTCCAATAAATATCTAAGTTTTTGAAACTTAATATGATTCCAAAGTTCCTGTAAGGGGGGATAGCTAAGAAAAACTGAGAAGAGATTTTTAAAAGTAAAGATGGGACTATATGTACTACTAGCTATTAATGCACTCTAAAGGAACAATATTTATATTAGAATGGACAGAACAATGCATTAGAATGGAAAAGCCCACGAATCGAGCTAGAATTCATTGGTGAAACAGTGTTGGCTAGATGTGGAAAAATTTCCGGATTGAATGCTTCAAGCACTAACAACCACCACCACCCCCAGCTGAATTGCCTTTCGGGAGAGACTCCTTTGTTTGGAGAAAACCACTTTATTGTATCATTTTGGCTCCCCTAAGGTAAGGCTTGAAAACTTGAAATTGGTGGCTTTAGAACCAGAAGGAACGGTGTGAACCTTTAAGATGGATTCAGGCTAGCCTGCAGTGCGACGAGCAAACCAGTGTAGACACTCTAGGTCTTTTTAAACAATTGTTGTTCGCTCTAATGGGCAAAAAAATGTTATGTCATTGTTTTCATTTGCATTGGAGTGCTTATTGTGGGATTGTGCGTCTTTTATGTGTTAGTCCAGGAGACTGCATTATTCCTGGAGGCAGGTAACAATAGGAGACTCATTGCGCCCCTTCTAAATGGAGTTTGGCTTATTGGTACAGCCCTGCCCGGAAGCGTGAGAATAAACAGGTTGACTTTTTAAATATTCCTCAAGCCCTGGGCAAGCTCTGGGCACCTAGATTGGGGGCGGAGGCAGTTTTCAGGACATGGCCGAGATTTGGCGCTGAGCTGTGTCATCGCGAGGTTTGGCAGACAGCTCCGCAGTGAGTCGGAAACCTCGTGGTTAGCGAGATCCCTGCAGGACGAGAGGTTCCTCCCTTCCCCCCAAAAAAACTCCCAGTCATTTTCATGAAGCCCCGCCCCTGTCCTTTTTAGGAGCCTGCCGCAGGTCTCGCGAGATCTCTTGCTTCCTAAAGGCGAGGCGCGGGCGGCATCCTGCGGTGAATTTCGAAGGTCTCATCGTGGGAGCTCGAGCGTAGTATCGCGATAGTTCTCCCGGCGCATGCGGGAGCCGGCGGCGGCACATTGGCTCCGCCTCCCGGTCCTTCGTGAGGTTGTGCGTCATTTGCTTTTTGCCTCGCTTAGGGTGAGAGCAGAGCTGCAGGGACTTAAGCTTTGGTTGGGAGGAGGGGTCTGGGGAGGGTTGGGCTCTGGCTTTCCCGTCCGGTGGAGGTTCTCGCGGGATCGCGCGGAGGCGGCAGCCGTTCTGCTAGTGACTGCAGCAGCCGCGGAGGCGGCGGCTACGTCTTCGGCTCGTGCCGGTCTCTGCCGGCGAGTTCTCGCGGGAGCGGCCGTACGTCCTCGTGGGATCGTTGGCGGTGGCAGAGGTAGCTCGGGGGTGGGGGTGGGGGGGCAGTGACTAGGGTCGGTCCGCCTGCTGTTAAGATGGCGGCGGAGGTTGATGTCTGTCCGGCCAGAACTAAGGACTAATGTGTTGGATATCCTCATTTGTGACGCCTCTCAGGTAGCCGACCTAAAAGAGGTGGCGAATGGCGGAATACCGAGGTTACCGGTAAACACGAGCGCAGAAGAAAACCACCCTGTTTCTAGGCGGCGAAGGGGACACCATTTCCCGGGCCTCAGCCGCGTGTGGGCCCGCCTTTGCCCCGCCAATCGGTCAACGCCTCCGTTGTTGCCGCCGCAGTGGGCGGGTTGGGAGGAATGGGAGGGGAGACCGAAATGGTTGGGGTATTGGGTTGGAGTTCGATTGGGAACTGAAGGGGACCAGCCAAGCAGTACTGCTATCCTACCCCGTATAGTTTTTGTGCGCGTCCACTTCCGTTCTCGGCTCCTACGGCAACCCAGATGAATCCTCTAGTTTTGCTGTAGTTGGGATGGGCTCTACTTCCCCAAGCCCCAAGGTCTTAGAGCTAAGCTTTGGGGATGGAACTGTAGTGCCTGTACTGCTCTCCCTTCTTTAATTCATCGTCCTAGAGGGACCGCGTGTTTAAGGGAGAGCGGAGTCAAAGCCTTTCCCTGCCCTCCCCTTCTGTTTTAGAGCTTAGTCCGGAGTCACCTAGCCTGGCCCATCTTCCTCTTCCTTGCCTCTTGGCGCAGGCGTTGAATACATGGAGCCTATTCTGATCCTTGCACTTATTCCATCTTTGTGGATGAAGCCATAGTAGCCATCCATTTCCTTAGGTCTTTCAGGCTTATATGGGTCTGATGGGTTAGTGGCACGAGTTCCTTGAACTCTGCGTTACTGCGGGGCCACTCAAAGCAGAACAATGGATGGACCGGTGAGGTCAATAGTTGCATGATTGCAGTCCTCGTGGGCCCTTCATTTGTGGCTCTTAGCCTTCCCTTTTTCATGCCCCCCCTTCCTTTATTCCTCCTCCCTCCTTTTCTTCTAACTCCTCCAAAAGGGAGGGGGCTGCAGAATATACGTGCTGTAACCAACTTTCTGTTCCTCACCCATTCCCCCTGTAAGCCTGGGAACCGCCCCTTTTCTCTGGCTTGCTCTGAATTTCTGTAGTCTCTTCATCTGTGGACATCTGTTTTTCTTGGTACTTACCACTTACATGCTCTTCACTTTTTAATCTTTCTATTCTTGCGTTCCTTTCCCCTTCCCCCCCCCCCCCCACATGCTCTAAGAGGCCAAATCCCCTACGGAGGGTCAGGCTCCCTTATCTGAAAATAGCATTGATGGTTAACATCTCCCTTTCCTATTATATTTCCTATCCTTTCCATTGCCACCCCTACTATAGGTAGTTAATAATTTATGATCATTTTGTTTCCTTTGTAGATTACATGTTGGGAGTTGTTATCCCTTAGCTCATGGTAAGTTTGCACATATTGAAACAGTTTCCGTTCATGGGAGGCAATCTGTAATGGTGGAAGTACAGTATGTACTTCAGGTTTACCTTGAACTTTTGTGACTTTGGGCAAGTTACCTTTTCAGGTTTTTTTTTTTAAGCTATGGAGTAATAATACTGATAGTTACATTAAAGGATTGTTGCTGAAATTGTAGAATGTGTACAGGTCAAGAGTCATGCTAGGCACACAATAGGTTGTGATTACCTTTTCCTTTTGCAGGGATGCATAGACACATAGAACTAGATATGATAGCTTGATGACCTGGGAAAGAATATGAGGTTTTGTTTTTTTGGTTATAAATTTTTAGTACATTTCTGTCTGATGGGTCATGGTTCTTGAATGTGATTACCATTGTCTCCTACTAGCCTAGTGCAGAATCACCACCGTGCTATGGCCACCAGACGTAATGTTCTTGTCAGGAACCACACCCAGGTGTTTGAGCTTTTAGAAGGGGTGCCTCATCCCTTACCTACTCATTCCTTCCATTTCTTCAAAGGCAGTCTGTCTTTACATTCCTATAAAAGAAGTTTGGTGACATGCATTTTACAGCAGTGAAGGGAACGTCTCCCAGCTGCATTTTGAGGGTACATGCTGCTTTGCCCCAAAGTCAGTTGTTTGCTCCCTCAAATCAGTAAGAGGATCTACTGTTAGCATCCAGCCTCCTCCCTGAGCAGGTTAACTCATGTCAGATTTCAGAAGTCCTTTGGAATACCAGGCATCTTTTTTGAAGGCAAATCCTATTTTACTTCTTTCCTGTACCATCTCCTGTAGTGATTATTTCTATATTTTCTGACCCTAAGTAGAAGTGACTAATTCAATTTGGAGATACTTTTCGTGCATATATGTTTTGCTTAGATTTGTGGTTTTTTTTCCTAGTTCTTAGCTGGATTATGGAAATTGAAGTACTGGGATACAATTTTACACTGGATAGCCATCTGATTAATTAACTGTGTGCACTCCAGTTTTGAGATACAGGGCTTCCTGTTCTGTTTGAAGTGCTTTTGGTGTTAGCAGAATTTCCCTTTTTCTTCAATGAGCAGGAGGGCACTTTCTGTTTTGAGCTTTTGCCTTGGTGCCTTTTACAATGAGTGAAGCAGTGATCACAAAAGTAGTGAAACCTAATTTCTTGTCTTTCAGTGTTAGAATAAATCTGGAAACGATGATGTAGGCATGACCTAAAAGGTGTAATTTATTCTAGGTAGATGTCTGAGAAGAGAGGAAGGAGTGGAAATGCCAAATAAAAACTTTTATCTAAGGTCCCGTTCGTTGCAAAGTTCAACCTGAATTTCCAGGACATTTATCTTTTGCTTCCCAATATGGCCAAAAAGCATATGTGAAGGTGAAAAGTAATTTTTTATGTGTACTGTATCTTTCACAAAGATACATTTCGCTTTCTTTTCCATCAGTTTATGTTGATGGTATAAAATTGTACAATTAGGGCCCGGCGTGGTGGCGCAGTGGTTAAAGTCCTCGCCTTGCACGCCCGGGATCCCATATGGGTGCCGGTTCTAATCCCGGCGGCCCCACTTCCCATCCAGCTCCCTGCCTGTGGCCCGGGAAAGCAGTCAAGGATGGCCCAAAGCTTTGGAACCCTGAACCCGCGTGGGAGATCTGGAAGAGGCTCCTGGCTTCGGATTGGCATAGCATCGGCCGTTGTGCTCACTTGGGGAGTGAATCATCGGACGGAAGATCTTCCTCTCTGTCTCTCCTCTCTGTATATCTGACTTTCCAATAAAAAATAATAATAATAATAATAATAAAAATTGTACAATTGACAGTGTCTCCTCTGAGGGCCTCTGGACTGATTACTTTGTTGCATTTTCTGGAATGTTGCCTAAATGTGAACTTGGAAATGTTGTTACAGCTTTTAGTTTCTGATTCTAAAGTTATGGGTCAAAACAGGTCCTGGAAATGCAAATTGTTAAGACTGTTGTTTTAGAAATTAGTGGTTACACAATGGTATTCCATACTCTTAACAAATGTATTCTGTGTATCTCCCCCACCTTTTTTGTAGGTCCTCCCATAGCATAACCCAAGCTGGGTTAGTGCTCCAGAGGAGCCAGCGGATCAACTTGATCAGAACGGTTCAGGAACCTTCTGGAACAGTGTTGGGATTTCCCACCAGAATGATTATGAGTGGCTGTGATTTTAGGTTCGTTTTTGATCATTGTGGGTGGTATTTGTGTTTGCCTTATGGAAAGGAGATGGTGGAGTGCTTCCATTCTGCGATTGAGCTGCTTTGTTCCATTGTCTGATGTTGTACTGGTAGCTGCTTGCATTTATGTAGGACTCACTAATGAATTAAAGGGAACTATTTAAATGAATTCTGTGTACATGATTTTTAAGTTACTAGAAGCATTCAGAAAATAAAATTGCAAGATATTGTGTCTAAGCAATTCTGTTTTAAAGTCATGAAAAATTTCAAAAAAATTGGATAGCATAATGTCTGTAGATACCTGTCACCAGCTTTATTGTCACTTGTAAAGCTTTTGTATCTAAAAGGGACTTTTAAAACAGAATCTCAAAGCCATTATCACAACTAAAAACAGACTTTTTAAAAAATATCAAATATGAAGCTAATGTTCACATCTCCTGATTTTGTTTAGTTTTGTGGTTATTTAGTTTGGTTTGCTTTTTGCAGCCCGAGTAGGATCCAGAGGGGGTCTGCTTATTGCAACATTATTGCAAAGAGCTGATACTATCTGGCTCCTAGTCTGTTTCAGTCTGCAGTCTGTCCCCCCTTTTTTTTTTTCCCCCTTCCAAGTTATATTTTGTGGGAATTGTCCTATAGTTTCTCCCATATTTGGGGATTACAACCCAGTAGTTGTGTCTAACCCATTTTGCCAAATTTAAGACCCTGATGGACCCATTATAATGGGACAATGGTGGTAATCTCCTGTATCCCAGTTGGAGTTGATACTGCTGGCCTAGTCACTCCTAAAATAACTAGTCATGGATTCCTTTTTCTGTGGCAAAGTCTGATTTGATACCTGACTTGAGCAGTTCCATGTCTTGGCCCTGCTTTTCTGTGCCATGTAAAAAGTAGGCCTCTTGGTAGAAAAAGCTAGTGTTTGTGAGATAATTGCCTGATTGTGCTTTTGGAGTTCCTTCTGGGTAGTTTCAGTTTCCTTAGGTGATTTAATTCTTGGGCTGCTATGTTATGTTGCCTTTAATTGTTTTGATGTTGGCGTCTCAGCTGCTCTGACAGGTAACTTCTGAGTTACTGAGACCTAGTGGGGCCTGGCTTCGTATAGCCAGTTCTTAAAAATCCAATATAGGAGAAACAGTTTATGAGAGATTTCATTTGCCTCCTGATTTTCAGCTGTGTATAATATACAAACCATGATTTTCCTGTTTTTGTGTTTTGTGTAATTTCTCACCAATTGCCCCAGCATAAAATCCTTGTGAAGTGTTTGTCTCTTTCCATGTGCTAGTTATGCTCAGCGTTCTACTCTATATCCCCTTCTGTGGTCGAAATCTGAGACTGGAAATTGGGCACATAGGCTCCAGGCCAGCCTTGATTTAGGCACAGGTGGAGGCAGTGCAAAGCCACTTGGCGCAAATACGAGTAATTTTGAATTTTTCAATGGGCAGAAAGAGTTGAGATCGTGAATGAAAGCTTTTGATGATGAAATGATAATCACCAGTACCATTTGTAAGCCACCACTTGAAAAAGGATAATTAAAAGAAGTGATTTCTTGGGAATTGGCAGTAAGTTTATGCATTCAACAATAACTTTGAGCACGTTGAATGTAGATGGGAATAAGATATTTACCCCACTTAAACCCGAGTTTGTGAAACTAGGGTAATTGGTATATAACTTTGCCACACTCCAGTTGCATTTGAATTTTTCCACAGTTAACAGGTGCAAGTTCACAATGGAGGTGCTGTTGAACGCTTTTTTTTCCCCCTCCTTTTGTTTCAAACCTTGAGTTCAAAGTATTGAAATGCTAAACTTGGTTGCTTTGAAAATGTTTGCCCTTCACATTCCATGTTACCTCTCCTGGCAAGATTAAAAAAATATGTTGTGTGGCTGTGACCATATTAGGCTGCTTACAGTGATCTCATCATCTATAAGGTTAAACCTGATAAGCACTTAGGCACTTGGTGTTTTTGTTGTATTGTTCCGAGTCCTCAATGACTGGTTACCAGATGTTTATATATGTTAATATCAGGGATAATTCAGCTCTTAAGATTCTTTGCAAGCCCTCTCATTTGATGTGTCATACGAGTTGAGTTGCTACAAACTTGATGTTCTTGTTGACCTGCTTGGTTTTCTGGTTATAGAAGCCTTCTGCTTTCAGATAGCGAAGGAGTGGCTTTCTATGAGTAAAAACAGCTGTAGGATTTGTTTGAGCTGTTCGAAACACTGACTAACCATTTTCCACCTTTAGTCTCTTTAAAATATTTCTAATCCTTTGGTTTTTGAACTTAACAGTGCTGACATAACATTGTATCCCAGAATGTGTGTTCACAGCAAGCTGATATTTTAAATGCCTATGATGTGTGATTGTGTGGAGATGGGCATACAGATCTGGTCCAGTCTGGATTGTTGATTGGATTAAGTGGATGTTAAGATTTTTGGGCCCCGCGATCCTGGTTGTAATTTTGTGTGTTGACAGAGTGGTTTCTGCTTGTCAGTAGCTGTTAAATGCTGACGAAATGGGGTTGAGAGTAGGCAGATATGAATTATTCTGGAATGGCCTTTCATTATGTTCATTTAGATGTAAAAGATTTATAAGTCTGAACACTGTTGTGAATTTACTGCTTTTAGCACAACTCAGGATTTGCAGTCCTTAGATATTAGAGATAATTGCTCTGGAAATGCCTGAGTAAATGGCATTTGGTTATGCTTTGGCATACTTTCAATTGCTTTATTACGTTAGTCACAATGGTCGTTTTCTGATTGGTTTTATAGGGAGACATATTTCTTCCTGGATTTTGCTCTTTTAAAATTTTTTGCTTCTGTTATTCCTTACTACTGTGTACTATCGATTGTATTCTCATAGCTGGAAAAACTTCAGCACAAGTGATTACAAATGTGGACTCCAGAACCTTGAGTTCAGTTCTGACTGCATTTCATTTCTTGCTTTATTATTATTATTATTATTATTATTATTATTCTTTTGGAAGATTTTTATTGGAAAGGCAGATCCGATTGATTTACAGACAGGCGGGAAGATCTACCATCTGCTGGTTCACTGAGTCTCCCGTTCAGGGGCAGGGTCCAAAGGGCTTGGGCTATCCTCTACTGACTTCTCAAGCCATAAGCAAGGAGCTGGATGGGAAGTGGAGCAACTAGTACACAAACAGGTGCCGCCAGTATGGGATCCTGGTGCTTGCAAGATGAGGATCTAGTCACTGAGCCATCAAGACAGGCCAAGTGACTGTAACTTCTTTGTGCTACAGTTGTTCATCTATAAAATGATACTGTTACCTCATAGGATTTTTGGATAAGTTAACTGAGTTAGTGTATGAAAAGTGCTCAGAACAATGGTTCTGAAATTGAAGAGAACATCAGAATCACCTGGAGGGCTTACTGAAACAGATAGTTCAGCCCTACCTGCAGAGTTTGCAATTCTGTAGTTCTAGAAGGGGCCCCATGTTTGCAGTTCCAGTGAGTTCCCAGGTGACACTGATATGGATGGTCACAGAACTATTGACATTGAATAATGGCTAGCACATGGTATTAGCTTTTTTTCTGGCTCTGCTCGTCAGTCAGTCTTTGCATTAAACGCTTCACTTCAGGGTATTCTAGTGTAGCTTTCAACCAGAAACAGGGTTGAAATGCTCTGATCATTCTCAACATCCATGCTGCTCTGTTTTTTGCACCTTGGCAGCTGGATCCAGAGCCATATGTCCACTCAAAACATTGTTGTAATGACATCTTGGATTTTCTTAATCCATTAGCGGCCACAAAATGTTGACATTGTAATGCTGTCATTGTGTTCAGCATTAGCTGGAATAATTGTATAAGGTTTTTCCCCTTCATTTTTACTGACTAATCGACCATCTAGATTATATATAAATTGTCAACCTGTTTTTTTTTTTTTTTAAAGACATTTTGTTGGAAGGTCAGATTCTCAGGAGGGAAGGCAAAGATAATCCATCCACTGGTTCATTCTCCAAGTGATTGCAATAGCCAGAGCTGCATTGATCTGAAGCCAGGAGCCAGGAGCTTCTTCTGAGTCTCAATGTGGGTGCAGGGTCCCAAGGCTTTGGGCCGTCCTCGACTGCTTTCCCAGGTCACAAGCAGGGAGCTGGATGGGAAGTGGAGCAGCTGAAATAAGAACTGGCACCTACATGGGATCCTGGCACATGCATAGCCAGGACTTTAGCCACTAAGCTCCCATGCCAGGCGATTAAAAAAAAGTTAATTGTTATTAGGAAAAGAGAAGGAAATACAGAGATGACGATCTTCTGTCTCTGGTTCACTCTAAGCAGGCGCAATAGCTGAAGCTGAGCCGATCCGAAGCCAGGAGCCAGGAGCTCTTCCAGGTCTCCCATGTGGGTGCAGGATCCCAAGGCTTTGGGCCGTCCTCAGCTGCGTTCCCAGGCCAGAAGTAGGTAGCTGGATGGGAAGGGGAGCAGCTGGGATACAAACTGCTGCCCATATGAAGCAAGGTGAGGATTCAGCCATTGAGCCATCATGCTGGCCCCTCACTATCCTTGAAAGTATATGAACATACATGTATGTATATATAAAGTACACAAAAGCTGTGCAGTCGTTAATGGAAACATTTGATGGCTTCCAGTGTGCTCGGCTCAGGTATTGAATTTCTGCCCCTGTGTGGCTAATGGGAATCTGTGGAATTATTAATTATTTTAAGATTTCCTTTATATAATATTTAGTTAAAAAGATGTATTTTTCTTGGAAAGGTGGATTTACAGAGAATAGGAGAGACAGAAAGATCTGACATCCACTGGGCCACTTGCCAAGTGGCTGCAATGAAGCTAAGCTTATCCAAAGCCAGGAGCTTCTTCCAAGTCTCCCATGTGGGTACAGGATCCCAAGGCTTTGGGCTGTCCTCCATGGCCTTCCCAGGCCACAAGCAGGGAGCAGGAAGGGAAGTAGAACAGCTGGGATTTGAACTCCACCCATATGGCATCCTGGTACATGCAAGGTAAAGACTTTAGCCACTACGCTACTGC